AGAATAAAATGAGCATAACTTTTTAGATTATGGCACTGTATTAAAGTTTTAATATTAAGCTTAACAAATATAAGATTTTTATCATATAGAAACATTCGGCTGGGCACAGTGGCTCACACCTGTAATCCTAGCACTCTGGGAGGCCGAGGCGTGTGGATCCTTTGTGCTCAGGAGTTCGAGCCCAGCCTGAGCAAGAGCGAGACCCCGTCTCTACTAAAAATAGAAATTAGCTGGACAACTAAAAATATGTAGAAAAAATTAGCTGGGCATCGTGGCGCATGCCTATAGTCCCAGCTACTCAGAGGCTGAGGCAGGAAGATTGCTTGAGCCCAGGAGTTTGAGGTTGCTATGAGCTAGCTGACGCCATGGCACTCTAGCCCAGGCAACAGAGTGAGACTCTGTCCCCCCAAAAAAGAAAAAAAAAACATCCATGCAAGTATGTAAAGATATATTTTTGAGGATCTATATTATAGCATTGTTTGTAATAGTGAACATTTGGAAACAACCAAATGATCATCAGTAGGGGATTAGCTATATAAGTTATGAAATGGGACAGTGATATAATTTGTATCTGGCCAGTTTGGGACATAATGAAATGTAGAAGAGAATAGGAGAAGGAAGAGTGTGTGGACAAGAGGAGGGTGGAGCAAAGAAGGCAGCATGAGTGCACATGAAAATGGGCATGAGAAATTATATTTGCTAAAAATGAAAAATTATAACTTGTTCTTTTTATCTTTTCTCCACGATTCCTAAATATTAATCTTACCTTATTTTTATGACTCAAGCATTTTAAGAAAATTGTTTTTACAAACTAGTGAATGCATGTAAAACAACACAAAATACAAACATGAATACCAAAAGATATGTGAATAGAGTAAAAATAGAAAAGTCAGGAAGTGACTATGTGTGCATTAAGATTCTTCTCTTTACCGCCACTGCCCCCCATTCCACTAGACTAGAGGTAATCATTGTTGCTATTGATGTGTATTCATAGAAAAAAATCAGACTTTCTTCTATGCATATATACACATGTGTTAAAATAAGTTCTTAATAAAAGTGAGATTTTACAGACTTTTTCTTAATGTATCTCAGATAACTTTTAAAAAATGTCAATACCTATAAAAAGTTTGCATTTATAGTAGATTTTATAAAATGGCATGAAATTCAGTTGGTAATCTGTTAAAATACTCTGTCATTCAGTTGTGTTACTTTTAAGTGGAAAAATTAGTTAAAAATATGATTTAAGTTATACACTTAAGTTATTTACTCATAACTGTTGACTTACCATTTTTGTTTCCCCTGCCACAGTACACATTTTATGCATGGTATAAATTTTGGGTGAACAGTAAAGCACATAACTCTAATTCTTCTACCCTCTTTTATTTATATTTAGCTTCTCCATTGATTCAATGGTAATTACAGAATCTGATATACAGAGAAAAATGTACCCTGGAAGCTGTCTAAAAGAGGATATTGATGGTGCAATAGAGGTATTTTATTTTGGATCTTTAAACTGTCATATACACTGATTTTATTTTTCTTACTATCATTTTTATGTCTGTGGTTTAGTAATTATCCAATAAGTAATTGATGAGAAGTAAGCCTTATAAATATGAGGATACTTTATATAAAAGACCCAGAATATATAAGTAAGGAAATTAAATGTATTTTCATAGCATAGGAAAAACACAGAGAAGTTAAACTTGAGGTGTTTTCCCCTCTAATTATGTTATAGTTTAAAATTGTCCTGTTTCATATAACATTTGTGGGCCATCATAACTTTTTCTTCCCACCACAGAAAGTTGCACCAGGCTATCTCTAGAATAGTGTTTAGGAATCCCCAAGATCCAAGTGCTAGGGCTGGGATAATGGATTAGGCCTCCTCGGGCAGAGTTCTTATGATAAATAAAAGCTCCACATCTTCTATAGTAGTGCATGCCATCCAGTTAAACCACCTTCTGCCTTTCTTCAACATTCTATTATTTCCAATTTCTCAAACCTGCAACTTTTTTCAAACCTGCTAGACCTTGGTGTTCACTCAGTAGATTTTTAGCTCCTAAGTCCTAGAGATAGTAGAGATCATTGCCTTCCATTCAGGATACAGAGGAGAGATGTTAGTCACGTGCTTGATTCTTCTACACTCATCCCATATGGAATATCTGATTGGATGAAATTCAGACAATTGGTAAATAAATAAATACTTTCATGCTGAGAACATCTTTACAGTTTTGACAAGCTTATGGGATGGGTGTGGAGGCTCCTGCCTGGGCTAGAAGTTCCAGACAAGCCTGATAAACATAGTGAGATACCTCCCCACCCCCATCTCTACAAAAAAAATTTTGCAAATTAGCTGGACAGAGTGGCACGCTCCTGTAGTCCCAGCTACTCGGGAGGCTGAGGCAGGATTACTTGAGCCCATGATGATACCACTGCACTCCAGCCCAGGTGACAGAGTGAGTCCCTGTCTCAAAAAAAAAAGTTTATGGTTTTTTTCTGTTGATAAAAGTAATTTGTATCTGTAGAAAATTGGATACTATTAATAAGTACCAAGAAAAAGAGAAAATTTGCTTGTAATTTCATGAGGAAAGATAGCCAGTATTTAGTATTTTACTTAAAAGAAAATATAGGCTGGCATCTCCCTTTTCTTTCTTTGGGATGCCATGCTGTCTCCCTGCTCTCTCCTCCTGCCCTTTTTCTCCCCCGCCCATCTCTCTCTCTCCCTGTCTTACATTCTCACTGTCCTTCTAAAGGGTAAAATAAACTTTTTTACTTTTATATCTTAAAAAA